CCACCTTCCACAGTAGCAGGGGCCCTTTCTTTCCCTGGCTCTGCTGTGGATTATGGTATGGACATGTGCCCACTGGCCTTCTACCTGTCACCACATCCCACCTCTGCCAGGCCTGCTCATCAGTGCTGCACACAGCGGTATGAAGGACAAGAGACACCAAATCATGGCTAAAAAATGTCATGGTGTCAGGGTGGGCCACGGGTTGTCACATCTCTCTTGAAATCTAGCCTTATGATTGTCAGAATCCTCTCCAAATTCTCTTGATTCAAAAATACACATTTTTTCTTATGAATCAGGCATATTTTTCCAGCTGCTTTATTACCTATTTACAGATGGGAAAACAGAAGAACATAGACAAAATAAATTGGTAACAAGTAGGAACTAAAAATGAGATCTCTCTGGGCCTTACGAGCTATTAAATAGTACACATTGCATAAAAAACATTTTTGTAAGAAAATAAGGCAATTTTGATAAAGTGTGTCTACTGAAAACTTAAGCTGAATTCTCTTTGTTGAAATGCATCCTTGGGGAATGTGACCACTGCAAATTATTTTCTGTAGGAAACAGAAGTCTAACATATACTAAGCAATATGCTAGATTCTCACACATCAAATCTGAACGTTAAAACATTAAGACTTCGATGACAGTGCCATAGCTGCTATCTTGGTGCTGATTCATCCAATCTTTATTTGCTATCTATTTTGTGCTACAGTCTGTAAAGTATTTTAACAATAACTACCAATTAAAGCCTTGACATTGTTATAGTTTGGATCTTACATGTCCTACAAACATCATGTGTTAAGTTATGGACCAATTACCAGCTTGTGACATTATTGGGAGGTGGTGGAACTTTTAGAAGGTGGGGCCTCATGGGAGGACGTTAGGTTGTGGGGAGTGTGCCTTTGAATGCGATACTGGGACTCTGGCCCCTCCTCTCTCTGTACTTTCCAACTACCATGAAGTGAGCAGGTTTCCTCTACTATGTGCTTCCTCCTTTATGAACGACTTCACCACAGCCTGAAGGCAATGGGCCATAAAGCTTCTAAACTCTGAGCCCAAATCAAATCTTTTCTCCTTATACATTTGGGGGGTGGGTGACATATGGCAATGGAACTCTAACAGTGTTTAAGTATTTAGGTGTGTGTGTGTGTATGTGTGTGTGTGTGTGTGTGTGTTTGCTTGTGGGCATGTGCACATGTATGTATGGGTGCATGTATGTGGGGGTTCATGTGGAGGTCAGAGGTTGACACTGAGTTTCTGAGCCTGGGGCTCATCAATTTGGCTAGGCTGGCATCAGCAGGCTCCAGGATCCATCTATTTCTGCCTTCCTCTGTCCAGCATTGTGATTCCACACACGTCAGTCACCTTGCCTGGCTTTTACATGGGTACTGGGGGAGACAAAGCCACATCCTCACAGTTCTAGGCATTGCATCAACTGCCATTTCCGCAGCCTTTATTATTTAATTATGTATTAATTAATTAATTAATTTTTTGGTCTTTTTGAGACACGGTCTCCCTGTAGCCCCAGCTGACCTGGAACCTGCTATGTAGACCAGGCTGGCCTCAAACTCTTGAGATCCATCTGCCTCTGCCTCCTAAGTGCTGGGATTAAAGGTGTGTGTCACCATACCCTGCCTAGTATTTATTTTTCAAAAAACATTTATTTTTATTTCATGTGCCTTGCCTGCATGTATGTAAGTGCACCTGTGGAGCTCAGAAGAGGGCACTGAATTCCCATGGAAATGGAGTTACAGTTGATAGCCACTGTGTGTGTGCTGGGAATTAAAGCTGGGTCCTCTGCAAGAGCAGCCAGTGTTCTTAACCACTGAGCCATCTCTCCAGCCCCAAGTATTTACTTTTAAAAAGATGTATTTAATTTTTCTTGGAAATTTGTGTAGAAGGAGTGCCAGGCCATGAGATAGGAAACCTGAGTTATTTCCTGGTGGGTACATTATTCCTTCAGCGTCAACAAGGATAACCATCCTGTTCCACTAGAAGCTCCCCTCCCCGTCCCGCCAACAAGATAACACTGACCCTGAAACTGAAGAGGGGGAGCCAGTCAGGAGAGGAGCTTTCCAAGGGAGAGAGGAAAACCTCAAAGGCCCTGGGGCGGGATAAGACTAATGACCTGGGGGAGCACGGGGCACACCTAGGAGCAGAGGGTGGAGAGGTGGGACAGAGGACGTTCTAAAGTGATGTTTAAATGAGTAAACTGGGGTTCGGGGGGATGCAGAGTCTGGAGAGACGGCTCAGTGGTTACAGTACCGGTGATCATACAGAGGGCCTGGATTCAGTTCCCAGCACCCACATGGTGGCTAACAACAGTTTCTAACTCCAGTTTCAGGGGATCTGATGCCCTCTTCTGACCATGCATTGCATGACACAGGTGCATACAGGCAAAATACTCATACACATAAAATAAAAATAAGTAAAAATAAATGAGCAAACTGGCAAAGTAGAGTCATAATCTTATCTTTAAAATTTCAAATGGCATTAGGCTCACAGTATGTACTGGACAAGGAGTCCCATCCTGTCACATCACTGTGGGGCAGACCGGGGGTGGGATCAGAAAAGGAAAAACCAAGAGACTGCCTTGGAAGCACTCTGGAGTTCAAGCAGGAAATGATGATGGGCTGGACTGAGCGTCTGCCACAGAAAGGGGGAAACCTGCTGGGCTGGACATGGGGTGTCTAGGGTCAGAAAGTATTCATGCAACTCTTAGATTTTGTCTTAACTTGGAGGATGGCTATATGACAGGTGGGGCTAATATGAGTTCAGGTAAGCGTCAAGTGTTTTGTGCAGACAATGGAATTTTATTTACCCATAAAGAAATATGAAATTATGAAGTTTGCAGAAAAAAGGATACAACTGGAAAATATTAGTTGAGGTAACCCAGAAAGCTAAATATAGCATGTTTCTCTCATATGAAGATCCTAGTGTCTCATTGTATTGTGTGTATTTAGTGGGAGTATGGGTAGAGGCCAGGAAACTAGGAAGGGGCCCACGAGAGGGACAAAAAGAGGCTTTAAGAGAGGTAAAAGGGTAAAGAGGGCAACAGAATACACGTGATGTGAAGGAAGAAGGGGAGACGGGGGCGGGGGGAAGGTACAAGCAGTGTCATAGGGCTGGGCAGGGAGGTGGGGGGAGAAGCAGGGAGAAAACTGGATGAACTAGCACTAGGTATGCAGTAAAATCCCATAAGGAAACCATGTACACACAGAGGAGCATGTGCACACACAGCATAATACATGTGTACACGCACACACACACACACACACACACTCCTTTGTAGAGAAGGAGGCTTAGGGATCTGGAAGACCATTTCTATTAAAAGGAGTGGGGAAGGGGCAGCAAGGTGACACAGCCCTAAATGGAGACTGATGAGGGAGAGGTAGTCAGCCATGACACACAGCAACAAGATGAACAGGATGACCTCCAGTCTGCAACGTGGAGGCTACTGGTCCCTGTGAGGAAAGCAGGCCCAGGAGTGATGGGGGACAATCTGCTGCAGAGGGTCAGGAAATGGATAGAGGTGAGGAGGTGGAACAACTCTAAAATATTCTCTTGAGAAGCTTGCATTGCAGTGACAGAGGATGTGAGAACAAGGGAGCAATGCTTTATTTTTCTCTACATTTCTGTTTTTAAAGATGAGGAAATACTAGCTTGACAGCAAGTGAGGAAGGGACCTTGAATGTAGGACAGAGGCAAGAATCAGGTAAACAGGAGCTGCTGAAGTGAGAGGGAAGGGGCCTGCCAGAAAGACTGGTCCTCAGCTGGGGCCTGACACACAACTCACCCAGCCTGTATGGAAGACCCCCACACAGGTGTTGGCATGGTACAAAGATAAGAGACTTCTAGTTGTTTCTGTTTCCAACAATATTGTGAGACTAGGCTGCAAGATGAGCAAGAAGAAGGGGGTGTTGGGGCTTAGAGAAAACATGAAATGGTTGTTCCAAGTGGAATAACACAATTATAGAGAAATACAGGGCTTGCAGTCTGTTCTGAGATCCATTTGCTATGCTTATGTGCTTTGGGGAGATGTTAATGTGTAGAAACAAAGCTGGGGACTGGCGAGATGGCTCAGAAGTTAGAGCACTGAGTGCTTTTACAGAGGACCCCAGTTCGATTCCCAGCACCCACATGGCAGCTAACAATGGTCCGTAACTCCAGTTCCAGGAAATCTGATGCCCTCTACTGACTTCCATGGGCACTGCACAACATGGGTGCACCTACATACATGCAATCACCCATACACATAAAAAATAACAATAATAGAAATAAAATTTTTTTTTGGTCTTTTTTGAGACAGGGTCTCCCTGTAGCCCCAGCTGCCTGGAACTCACTCAGTAGACCAGGCTGGCCAGCCCCCAAATAAAATTGTTTTATTTTTTGTTTTCTTTTTCAAAAAAGAAACAAAGCCAGGTGTGGTGGCACAGGCCTTTAATCCCAGCACTTGGGAGGTACAGGCAGGCAGATCTCTGTGAGTTCAAGGCCAGCCTGGTCTACATAGAGAGTTCCAGGACAGCTCGGGCTACAGGGAGACTGCAAAAAAAACAAAAAAAAAAAAAAAAAAAAAAAGAAAAGAAAGAAACAAAGCTAGGGTCATGGGCATGGAGAAGAGGCTGAAGGAAGGAGATCTCTGGGGAGATGAGGTGGAAGACCTGAGGGTGTGTGGCATGGCAGAAGGACCATGTGCCACACTTGTTGTCTGGGTGCCACTCTTTGTCCTGCACGCCTAGGGCTGTGCACCCTTCTCTCTTGAACTCTCTCTCTTTAAATTTAAGGAATGAAACAACCCCCCCACATCATGGTGCTCTTAATGGTTACTGGGAATCTAAGTAACTCATGTGTCAACATGAGCATCTGAGGGAATGGTCTTCATCTGTGTTGGGAACATGGTGGGGAGGGTGGAAGTAACATCAGCCCAGAGAGTCACACAGGAAGACATGTTGGGTGTTGGGAGATGATTGGGCGAGAGAACAGCAGTGCCATGTCACAGAGAATGAAGACTCTGCCTAGAAGGAAAAGGGTAGCTCCTTACCTATGTGCTGCCTTGTGGAGGAAGAGAGAGGCAGCAAGTGAGCAGCGGTTTTGGGGCTGGAGGCCTTGTTTTCTGAGGTGCGGAATGTTGCCTGGATCACGTCAATGGCCTCTGTGTAGCCCATCTGTCGCAGGGCCTCCATCAGCTCTTTGATGGTTCCTCCAGACACCTGGGCGGAAAATGAAGAGTATGTTGTGTTCCAGCCCCTGTGAAGGTTGTGAACATCCCTTCCTCCCTGGGTCTGCTTGTCTCAGAGAGCCATGTAGGTAGAGAACTACCTGCAGAAATACAGGCCCAATTCCTGCTCCAGCTCACAGATCACTCAGGAAAGCATAGGAGAAATGGAGATGAAGACAGAGAAAAACGTAGAGAATGGGGGAAGAGGGACAGAAAAGAGCTCTCAAGTTCAGGAAGGAGACAGTTGAGTGCACCCAGAGTGAAGTCTGCGCGGGACCCCACAGGAAGACAGCAGCTAACAAGGCAGCATCAACAGAAAATGGCACCAGCTTTTTCTAGCTCTTTAGAAATAGCTCCATTGGAAGCACCTCACAGACTTCTGAACCCATGCTCTGCTGGGCTGGAGGACATGCATATTGATCATAGCCTATTGTGTTTTTTTAGGGAGATCCTGGTTGTATGACAACCTCTGATGGCCAGGAAGACTTTGAAAACAGAGACTATCTAAAGGCAGGTTAAGGACCTCAAGAAGATAGGCTTCCATCCTGGCCTGGGTTTTCCTGCCTCCCTATGCCACGGGAAATGACTGATTTTCTTTCTCAGAGTTAGTATACAGGGAGGGGGTTGTGCCTGGGTCAGTGGTGTTAAAACAGTCAACTACAAATGTGTAAGGTGGTATGTTACCTCGTAGTTGTCCATAAGAGTTTTAGAAGGAGCAGGACTCAGCCGGAAGGCATTATTAAGTATTCCCAGACCCAATTTCTGTGCCAGAGTAGCCCAGTTTTTGTCTGGATCAGGAATTTCTAGCAACTTGTAGAGCTGAAGTTTTGTATCTTCAGTCAGCTGCTTCATGTCTCCTGGAGGAAATGAGGAAGAAACACAATTGTCCTAACAGGGACACTCTGAGGACACGTCATTGTCACTTTGCCTCCCTAACTTCTGGTGCAAGTAACCAAGCTTCTAGAAAGTCCAGGGCCCCAGCTGAACAGCGGTAGGCTATGCTTATAGTAGACTGGGACCAAGCGTTCTCCCTTTCACACCTCCAGGACCTTTTGATTCTAAAATGAGAGCTGGGCCTTTCACAGCACGCCCTTGAGGGCCTTGGTTCTCCCTCTCCTCCTGTGAACCCCAGTGTGGAAGTAGTTTTGGCTGAAGGAATCTGTTTCTACCACAACTCACCTTGTGGCAGTATGTCTTCAGATGTGAACACTCGCTCATATGGTTTCCCATTTAATATGTCAAATACCTGTTGTTTCAAAAAATAAGTAAATATAGAGAAATGTCTTAAGTGAAAAGAAGAGTATCCACAGCTATGGAGGTCCTGATGGTGTTCCCTGATGTCACTATGCTGTTGGTACACTGCGTAGGGATGACATGGGTCGCTGAGGTAGGTCAGCCTTCTGTGTTCTGTGGTGAGTCCTTCTGGGGCAAATGAAGTACCAGTGTCCATAGAGAACCATGTGGTCTCTGTAGAGACACCCAGACCAGCAACCAGGCTGCCAGGAGCACACAAATGGGTTTGGACTTGGAACTGCACTCATCCCTACAAATCTTCTGATTTCTGAGATCTGTATGCTGCCCACTTCACACTCTGGCTCTTCTGTTTGGGCCCAAAATACCTAGTGACTGTTTTCCCCTTCAAGGCTCACCTCAGTGGAGGTTTAAGGAAGGCTTTACACTTGCTTAATGTTTATGGAAATCCACATAAGAATTCCAAGTATATTTTTATATTCATAAGCCCCTCACTTAAGTTCTGAGCAAACTAGAGATGGTAAGATTCTGGTATGTGATCAGAATGGCTGTCACGTGGATTCTGTGCTCTCTTTTCTAACCTCCCTCACATCTCAACCCTGATCTGATCAGTAAAGCAGTTTTACATTCAGGGCTCAGCTGACCTAGATCTTTCACAGATACGCATTTCAAGATAAATATGCCTCTTGACCGGCAGACCTTCTTAAAAACAAAAGGCGTATTCATTAGGGAACAGTGCCAGGAAGGTTGTCTGTTCTTACATTTTGAACCTCTGGTTCTCCCAGAGGCAGCCATCAGATGGTCTGGTTGGCACTCACCTGCCAGTTGGCAGCCATATCTAGGGGTGTGGTGCCCGGCACGACTCCCTCATCTTCTCCAGCCTTTTCCCAAGACTCATCCAGGTCATAGAGAGGCTCAAAGTTCTCTACCAAGGGATCTGCTCCTGTAAAGTCAGGCAGTATAGTGGTACGTAAAACTCAAATCCTCTCAACTTCTAATTGCGTTCAGGGGTTAGATTTCTAAAGTCAATTTACTTTTAATTGCTAGAGGTAATTACCAGGATAATTTTTATTTCTACCAAAATTT